TCTGAGGGACGAGCGGGGATGGGCCGGGGTCGGGTGGAGGAATTGGGGCTGGATCTGAGGGATGAGAGGGGCTGGATCGAGGTTGAGCGGAGGAATCGGGGCTGGGCGGTTTGGTTTAGGCTGGAGCGGGGGCGATTGGGGCAGGATGGGGTCCAGGTACCGGAGGGAATACGGAAGGATTGGGGTCCGAGAGGGGGAACGGGGCAGGATCGGGGCGTGGGGAGGCCGAGATGGGGGGATCCCACCGGGATGGGGGGGATCTGAGGCAGGGCAAGCCCAGGGACCCGGCATGCAGAATTTGTCCCATCGGGATGTGTCCCCTGGGATGTGTCCCCTGGGATTTGTCCCTGCAGTTCCCTGTGCTCTGTCCCCTGGCAGGAGGTGCTGGGCGAGGAGAAGCTCATGTCCATCCTGAAGGAACGAGAACTGAAGATCTACTGGGGCACGGCCACCACGGGCAAGCCCCACGTGGCCTATTTCGTGCCCATGTCCAAGATCGCCGATTTCCTCAAGGCTGGCTGCGAGGTGGGCACTGCCACCCTGCTGGGTGCCACCTGCAGCTGGCACAGACAGCTCCCCTGACCCTGCTGTCCCCCTGTCCTAGGTGACAATCCTCTTTGCTGACCTCCATGCCTACCTGGACAACATGAAGGCTCCGTGGGAGCTGCTGGAGCTGCGGACCCGGTACTACGAGCAGGTCATCAAAGCCATGCTGGAGAGCATCGGGGTGCCCCTGGAGAAGCTCAGATTTGTCCGGGGCACCGATTACCAGCTCAGCAAGTGAGTCCTGGGCAGCCAGGGGGGCCCTGGGAGGCTGAGCTGGGACAGGGGTGGATGGAGTTAAAGGATAAAGTAGGGATTTATTAGAAGTATCTAATATTCTATCTATATATATAATATATATGTATATGTAATATTATTATATATAATGCAGTATTATCCTTAAAACCAAGGATCTATTAGAAGTATCTAATATTGTGTATATATATATATCTATTATTATATATAATACAGTATTATCCTCAAAAGCAAGGATTTATTAGAAGTATCTCATATTGTGTATATATATATCTAATATTATATATAATACAGTGTTATCCTTAAAACTAAGGATTTATTAGAAGTATCTAATATTGTATATATATATATATATATATTATTATATATAATACAGTATTATCCTTAAAACCAAGTATTTATTAGAAGTATCTCATATTGTGTATATATATATATTATTATATATAATACAGTATTATCCTTAAAAGCAAGGATTTATAAGAAGTATCTAATATTGTGTATATATATATCTAATATTATATATAATACAGTGTTATCCTTAAAAGCAAGGATTTATTAGAAGTATCTAATATTATATATATACACACATATGCACACATACAAATTATTATATATTATTTATTATTAATAATAATTATGTATTTTATATATGTATATATGTATCTAATACTATTATATATAATACAGTATTATCCCTGAAAGTAGGCATTTATTAGAAGTATCTAATATTTTACATCTATAAATATAGATATATGTAAAATATATATATATGTATATATGTTTTAGATAGATAGATAGATAGATGTCGATAGATGTAATATATAACTATAGAAGTATCTAATAATGTTATATATAATATGTTATTATCTCTAAAAGCAGGGATTTATTAGAAGGCCTCAATATATCCACCTTGGGCAGCACAAGAGTCTGGCTAGGGCTACACCCAAGGTGAACCAAAATGGTCACAAAATGGACACTTGGTCACAAGGTCTCACACTTTTATAAATTCTGCTCCATTTCCATATTGCAGTTAATGGTCCAATTCCAGCTTTAGCCCATGAGGCCCAATCCTTCTTGAGCCCACGTTGTTTGTGCTCTTGGGCATGAGATTTGGATCATTTGTCATTGGTCCCCAGCTGGAGCAGAATTGTTTTGTCACCCTACTCTGCCTGTGGTGACAGTGGTGTGCCCAGGAGCATCTCTCAGAGCTGTCTCCATGCCCATTGTGCCCAGGAGCAGCTCTGAGGGCTGTCCCCATGCCCGGTGTGCCCAGGAGCAGCTCTCAGAGCTGTCCCCATGCCCGGTGTGCCCAGGAGCAGCTCTGAGGGCTGTCCCCATGCCCCTGGTGACAGTGCTGTCCCCACAGGGAGTACACCCTGGACGTGTACCGCCTCTCCTCCGTGGTGACGCAGCACGACGCCAAGAAGGCCGGGGCAGAGGTGGTCAAGCAGGTGGAGCATCCCTTGCTGAGTGGTTTGCTCTACCCAGGCCTGCAGGTGAGGCAGGGGTGGTGGCCAGGGAGGTGCTGGCACACCACGGGGGTGTGTGGGGCACAGTGCCACCAAGGTCGTTGTTGTCCACCCCAATGTCACAGCTGGCGGTGGCACAAAGGCTGGCCTGAGCACAGAGCAAACAGTCTGGAATGTTCCTGACTTTCCCTGGCTGGGAGTGGCCCAGGAGGGGCTGAGGGACAGGCCAGGAGTGTTCTGGTCCAGCCTCCAGGCTCTGTGTCTCTCCACAGGCACTGGATGAGGAATATCTCAAGGTGGACGCACAGTTTGGAGGGGTGGATCAGAGGAAGATCTTCACCTTTGCTGAGAAGGTCAGGAATGGGGGGATTTCTGCCACACTGGGGTTTGAGGGAGGGTTTGGCCACTCCCAAATCCACTGGGAGAAGTGTGTGGGATTTTGGTTGATGTCACAGCTCTCTGTGCTGCTCCTGTGCTTTGTGCAGCCACACATCCCTGCCTGTGACTCTGCCCTTCCTGGGTGCTGTTACCCCAGATCCCAAAGCTACCTGGAGCCAGGAGCAAACAGGGATTGGGAATTAAAGCTGAATCAGGCTTGTGTCTGACTTGCCTCCTTGTGTTTTCCCAGTACCTCCCTTCCCTGGGCTATGCCAAGCGTGTCCATCTGATGAACCCCATGGTTCCTGGGCTGACAGGCAGCAAAATGAGCTCGTCAGAAGAGGTTGGTCCTGGATCTGGCTGTGCTCAGGGGGCTCTGGGGGGACAGCTTGGTGGCTGGGGGCTGAGAAGGGACCACCCCAGGAGAAATGAGCTCTCCCTCCCCATTCACATGAGTTCTAAGAAGGTGCAGCAACTCCAGCACGAGTTTGTAAAAGCTTGGGCTGAGGAAATCTCTTGCTGCAGGACTCCAAGATTGATCTTCTGGACCGCAAGGAGGACGTGAAGAAGAAGCTGAAGAAGGCTTTCTGTGAGCCAGGGAACGTGGAGAACAATGGTGTCCTCTCCTTCATCAAGCATGTCCTCTTCCCCCTCAAATCAGGTGAGGGGGTCCCCACACTGGGGTGTGGATAGGAGGAGGGGACAGGAGTGTGTCCCCTGAGACAAGGCTGTCCCTGAGTGCCACCTGCCCCAGCCCCTGCTCTTGGGCTGGGTGGTTTAGCTGAGCCTCGAGTTAATCTGAGCTTTAAAACCTGTTTTGTCCCAGAGTTTGTGGTCCTGCGAGAGGAAAAATGGGGAGGAAACAAAACCTACACGGCCTACGAGGCCCTGGAGAAGGATTTTGCTGAGCAGGTGAGTGCTGGGAGGGACTGAACCTTCTGCCTGAGGTTCCTGGGAGCAATCTGGGAGCACTGGGAGATGGAAATCTGCACTGGAGGAGATGTGGAGTGTGGCCTGGTAGTGTGGGATGCTCCCAGGCAGGAGAGCCTGGGGGAGTGAGGATGAGTGAAGGCTGTGAGGTCAGGACAGCACCACATCAGCCACATCCTGCAGCACAGCAGCACTTTAACCCTTCCTAGCTGTTCCCAACAGAGGCTGGAGGCAGAAGCATCCAGAAACTTCTGATGTCCAAGGGGAATCAGGTCAAGGGTTTGGGATTCATCTTCCCACCCTGTTTGGTCTCTGTGGCCTCAGACAGGAACATCTTTGTCCTGACAGGTTGTGCACCCTGGAGACCTGAAGAACTCTGTGGAAGTGGCCCTGAACAAACTGCTTGACCCCATCAGGGAGAAATTCAACTGCCCAGAGCTGAAGAAGCTGAGCAGTGCTGCATATCCCACCCCTTCCAAAGCCAGTAAGGAGGGGCTGGGAGCCTGGGGAAGTGGGGCCTTGGGAGCTCAGGGAAATGGGGCTCTGGCCATGCAGGGCTGAGTGGGACAGAGAAAAGTTTTGAAGCTCCAGACTCAAAAGCAGCCATGGAGAACATTGGGAAAGGTGAGGAAAGTCAGCACAGGAGGGACTCTGCTCTCTGGTATAGGGACAAGGATGGAATTCCCTGCAGGGAATTGCCCCCAGGGCCTGCATTTGGGGCTGAGCACCTGCCTTGGTTTGTGCTGAGTGTTGTGACCATTCCTTCACCCTGCAGAGCCTGGAGAGAAGGGAACCAAGAACTCAGAGCCAGAGGACGTGATCCCATCCCGGCTGGACATCCGTGTGGGCAAAGTGATCAGCGTGGAGAAGGTATGGGGAGAGGGAGAGGGGAGCAACCCTGCCATGTGGTGACATTTGGGATGTGCCTGGTGGGGCTGGCACCTTCTCTGCCACCCCATTCCCACCCCTGCTCCCCATGGCAGCACCCAGACGCCGACAGCCTGTACGTGGAGAAGATCGACGTGGGCGAGGCCGAGCCCCGCACCGTGGTCAGCGGCCTGGTGCACTTTGTCCCCAAGGAGCAGCTGCAGGACAGGCTCGTGGTGCTGCTCTGCAACCTCAAACCCCAGAAGATGAGAGGGGTGGAGTCGCAGGGCATGGTGCTGTGTGCCTCCAGGTGAGGGACACGGGGGACACCGGGGCTGGACCACCCCTGCTGCCTCAGGGGCAGCACCCTGGGGTGACCCTGGTGTCTCCACACCTCTCCTCAGTGTGGGGGAGCCCCGTCAAGTGGAGCCCCTGGACCCCCCAGCCGGGTGCTGTGCCGGGGAGCGTGTCTACGTGGAGGGCTACGAGGGTGGGGAGCCCGACGAGGAGCTCAAACCCAAGAAAAAAGTCTTTGAGAAGCTGCAGGTGAGGCCTGGGAGTGGCTGTAGCTCCCAGATGTTACTGTGGGGGAGATGATCCCTCCCAGGGCTGACCCTGCTCCCTGTTGTGCTCCCCAGGCCGATTTCTGCATCTCTGAGGATTGTGTCGCGCAGTGGAAGCAGAGAAACTTCTTGACCAAGCTGGGCGCTGTCTCCTGTAAAAGCCTCCGGGGTGGCAGCATCAGCTAACAAGTGCCAGGGCTGCTCTGGTGCCTCCTGCAGCTCAGCCAGGCTCCTCCCTGTCATCTCCCCACCAGTGCTCGGCCCTGGGGGCTCTGGGACTGAACCTGCAGCCTCTCACCCAGAGCTGCCTCCATCATCCGCCCCCCTGGGCCTCTGGGGACTGACTGGAGGTGCCACCACATGCAAGGGACTCATGTGACTCATCCCCATGGCCTTGGGGCCACCCAGCTGTGCCACAGACTGGACTCCCTGCCCGCTGGGGTGCCGTGTGTGGCTGCTGTGGTGAGGGCAGAAGGGAAAAGCTGCTTCTCCAACCTCGTGTTGCTGCTACCAGAGCTGGGGACAGCCCGGCAGGCCCCGTCCCCTGCTCCACCCCACCTGTGGGGCTGTCCTGAGCCTGTGAGGGGTGTGGGCCTTAAACACTGACTCGGGAACCATCTGTCTGTCATAAAACCCAATAAAATGTCGAGCTGACTGCACGTGGCTGTGCCCATCTGTCCAGGGGAGCTGGCAGCCAGCCCTGCTCCAGAATTTTATTGGGCAGTGGTGCTGGGAACCAGCCCAGGAGTGTTCCTGGAGCTCAGCAGCACCAGGAGGGACCTGCAACCACAAACCAGGAAGAACAGGAGGCAGCAAGCTTCTGTCATCATTTTTACCAGCCAGGTACAGAGCTCTGAGCAGCTACTCTGCGGCAGAGGGTCAGTTGCTTTTGGTTTGGTTTAGTTTGGTTTGGTTGGGTTTGTCGTTTTGTTTGGTTTTTGTTTAGTTTTTTTTTTACAATCAAAGAAATCAAAATGTGACCCGAGTTTACAGAAACAGAATCAAGGCTCTACCCCAGAGCCCAGGGCCAGCTCAAGGGGCAGCCAGGCCCTTCCTCCTGCTGGGCAGTGGTGAGTGGCCAGAACCAGGGCTGACCACGAGCCCCTCTGGCCTTTCCATCAAGAGCCAAAGCCCTGATCCCTCCCCACCAGCACCTCCATCCCCTCCTGTTCCTGTTTGCATCTCCCCAGGTGCTGTTGTGGCCAAAGCCTTCCCATTCTTTGTCCAAAGTGCTTCCATTCCTCGTGGGCCTGCCTGGCCAGCAGCAGTGGCTCCAGCTCCGGCATCTTCAGCCCCAGCTCCGGCGTCTTTGGCCCCCAAACTCCTCTGGGTGTGGCTGCTCAGCTCCACACACCCACACCGAGCATCAGCTTGGCAGGGAGGAGGTGCTGGCTCTGGGCATGGGCCTCGAGTCCAGTAAAAAAAAGCAAAATAAAGCTGTAGTACTTAGGAAAGTGAAACCAACACCATTTTTGCATAAATATCATCAAGGCCGTGGAGGCTAAGGCTGTTTGCTTCCTGTATTAAGTTAGTTGCCAGTTCCACACTCATCCGTTGACCTGCCCAGGTCCCTGAGAGATTTGGATTCCTGTCCATGGGGGCTCCAGTCCTGCAGTGTCATCCTTCAGGCCGTCTCTCCCCGTCTGTCTGGAAAGCAGGAGGAAAGAGCCCATCAGCCACCTGAAATCCCAGCTTCCCACAGCCCTACAGGCTCTATCCCTGCCGTCCCAGTGCTTCCCAGCTGGAACACAGCCCAGGAGCCATGCTGGGAATTCATCCTTTGGGAATGCACAGCTCAGGATGCTGAGCAATGAGGCAAAACCTCCAGCAGCATCACCCCGTGGCTCCCACCCCACGTACCTTGTGCAGGGAGGCTCTGAGCCGGCGGCTCCGCGCCGTTCCTGCCCTCCGTCCCCTCCAGCTCGCTCTTAGTCCTGCTCTCCTCTGCCTTGGCATCCCCGTCCAGCACCGGGGAGCCCAACGCCTCTGCCCCCGGTGCCTTCGGAGAAGGAGCCGGCCCCGAGCCCAGCGAAGGCTTCTTGGCTACTGGAGGGGGGATCTTGCCTGGTTTCCTCTGGGTTTGCGGGGCGGCAGCGGCCGGGGCTGCCGAGCGCTGCCCCGAGAAATTCATCAGCTCGGCCACCAAGTTCCTCTTCAGATCGGCCTGTGCCTCGGGGGACGAGGCCGTCTCGATCACCACCTTCCTGGAGCTCTTGGCGAAGATGAAGCTGGCGGTGGAGGCCGGCGATTTGCTCCGGGGGGACAGCTGCCCATCCCCGGCGGGCCCCTCAGGGCCGGGCTGGGCCGCTCGGCTTCCCGGCGGCTTCTCCGCGGCCTCTGCGGAGGCCAAGGCGGCGGCCTTGAGGTGCACGGCGTGGAGGAGCTGCTTGGAAGGCACCGCGTCTTGGGCGGGGGGCGGCTGCCGGTTGGACAGGGAGCGCCGGACGGGCTTCTGAGGGGCCGGGCGCTCCTCGGGCCCGGTTCCAGCCCCGGCTCCGGGCCCGGTTCCAGCCCCGGCTCCAGCCCCGGCCGCGGGCTCCACGCTGACGGAGCGCAGCCGCACCATCTGCAGCAGCGACGGGGTGACGATGGGCAGGCTGGCGTCCTCCTTGGCCGCCGGGCCGCTCTTGCTCCGCGACACCGGCTCCTTCTTGGCCTCCGCCCGAGGGCCGTTGGCCGCCTTCTTAAGGCTGATTTGGGGCGGCAGGGCCGGAGCCGAGGGCGGCGGGAGAGGCGGCGGTGGGGGCACGGGGGCCGTGGGAAGGGGCTCGGCGGGGTGTGGAGGCTGTGGAGCCCCGGTGGGTGGCTCTTGCTGTTGAGATGGTGAAGATGCAGCCCCCGCGCTCGGTGTCGCCGCCTGCCCGCCCGCCGGGGCCGAGGTGGCATCGGGCAGGCTGGAGAGATAGGATTCATCCGGAGGGGGGAAGTCTGCCATGGACAGGTCGTGCTCCTCGGGGGCCGGCGGTGGTGGCGGGGGCCAGGCGGTGTCGGTGGAGGGCTCACTGCTGCTCTGGGGGCTCCCCTCCACCTTCTTGGCCGGCGGGGGAGGCGGGTGGTAGGCAGGCGGCGGCGATGGAGGTGGGGATTTGCCGCTGGGCTTGGCCGAGGGCTCCTGGCCGGCAGTGCTGGGCGCTGGCGAGGTTTGTGAGGGCTGCAGAGAGCCGGCGGGGACCGGGGGCCGCTGGGACTTGGTGGGTGGTGGGGAGAAGGGAGCAGGAACCTTGGGGTGCGGTGGGATGATGAACCGGTCTGAGCGAGCGGTCAGCACCTCAGGAGGGGTCGGGTCCGAGGCCGAGGAGGAGATGGAGGTGAGGGAGGAGGACACGGAGAGCGCAGGCGACTGCAGGGAGCAGACCCGGTCCGGCTTCTGGGGCTGAGACTTGCCCGGCGACACAGCTGGGGGTCCCAAGCCCTTGGTGGGCAGTGTGGGCGTCCCACTCTGGCTGGAGTAGCCGCTGGAGGGGGACATGGTGCGGTCAGAGCCATCGGGGCAGCTCCACTTGGCCTGGGCTTGGGGCTCCCTCAGCACCACCGTCACCCCGGGCCGGCCCCGAGGGGCCTCGGGGGAGCTGGCGCCCGCCAGGCTCTCGGAGCGGAGGCTGCTGGTCTCGCTCAGCGCTGGGGAGAACACCTCATCCTCGCCCGTGGGGCTGAAGGGCTCGGGCCGCGGGGACCAGGGCGTGCTGCTCTCCCGCTGGGGCCGCCGCTCGGGCCTGGGGGGCAGCCCCAGCACCTTGGGCTCCCCGTCAGCTTTTTGGTGCAGCGAGTAGGTCCTGCGGGGAGGGGCCGGGGGCTTCTTCATCTTCCTGAGGGACACGCTGCGGGTGGAGGAGCGCTCGCTGGCCAGGCTGGCCGTGTCCGAGCCCTCCGCCTGGCTGCTCGTGCTGTAGGCAGGGGATGCTCGGCCGCTGCCCACACCCAGGAGCCCGGGGGCTGCGGGAGCGAGGCCGGCAGCGGGCTTGGAGCAGGAGCTGGCGAAGCTGGCGGAGCTGTAGATGCTGATTTGGTCGGTGTCAGAGCGAGCTGCCGTGTCCACCTCGCTATGCGGCCCCACCTCGGGCTGCCGGTGGTCACAGCCACCCTGGGAGGAGATGGTGGAGCTGTTGGACACGATGGTCTCCGTGGACTGCGAGTGGCTCCAGTTGTCGCTGGAGGAGGAGGGCTCGCGGCTGCGGCGCTCCGAGAAGCGGGACAGGGAGCGCACCGAGGCCGGGCTGGACGACACGAGGCTGCAGCGGCTCAGCGTCCGCACGCTGCGGCTCGTCAGGGCCACCACGTCCACCATGGGCGGCAGGATGGCGTTGGGGATGATCTTGGACATGTAGGTGCCCTGGGGCGAGATGGACATGACGGGGCCCGCCAGCATCTCCGGGGGGTTGGCGTAGGTGGTCATGCCCGGCACGGCCAGCGACTTCGGCCTCATCATGGGTGACAGTTTGGCCGCTGTCTTCCTCCCTAGCAAGCTGTCGTCGTAGTAAACCTTGTTGATGTGCTTCTGCAGGGCTGCATCGGCCTCCTCCAGCACTCCCAGGCAGACTCGGGCACCGCCGACTGCGGGCAGGGGCTGCAGGTTCCCGTCGATGGTGGGGATGCGGATGGCATCACCCGACACCTGCCCCCCGTTCAGCATGGGCTGCACTGCCTGGCTGTCCCCACGGCCTGCTGGCCCTCTTCCATCTGCCTCGGGATGTCCCTTAATTCCATGGCTGTTCCTGAGACCTGGGAGCAGGGAGAGATGAGCTCAGTGTGATGCCAAGGGAAGGCAAACAGATCCTAAAAATCCCCCCTTGTTCCCCCAAAGCTTACCCAGCTCCTTATGGACGTGCTGGGGGATGCCCAGCACTGTTGTCCTCCTGTCCTTCCTCTTCTTGCCAGCCCTCTCTGAGGATTTGGGAAAGGAGTCGTGTGGTCGGAAGGTGGAACCTGAAAGAGGTGTGAGAGGGTTCAGCTGGTGTGTGTGGGGCTGGCCTGGATGTCCCCAGTGTCCCCAACGCTTCCCACTGCCAGAGGTGCTCTGGGATAAGCCAGACTCAGGCAGTGGAACAGGCACCAACCGAACAGTCTGAGCAGGGAGGAGACACTGTCTGTCTGTCTGTCTGTCCATCCCCCTCGCCCAGCCCCAACGCTCTGACTCAGCCAGAGCTGCTCTCATCTCTCCCAAGGGTCCCCAAATCCCTGTGCTGGCTCTTGGGCAGAGCCCAGGTCCCTGCCATGCTCCCCAGCCCCCCTGGCAGCCCCATTCCCCATCCCAGCCCGGTACCTTTGCGCTGGATCATCTCGGAGCGGATGGAGAGCGCATCCTCTGAGGTGCTGTCCGTGGCACAAGAGGCTGCCCGGCTCCGGAAGGACAGGCTGTCATCCTCCGAGGATGCACAGGACTGTGGGGACACAGAGGGCTCAGCAGAGCCCGGGCTGAGGGGACGGAGCTGCCCCAGCCCCAGCCAGGCCCCTTCCCTGCCGCGAACTGACTGTGCACTGAGACAAAAGCTCTTCCGAGGGCCAAAGGCTGAGTCAGCCACGCCGGCATCCAGAGTCCTCCCACCAGGAGCAGGGCTGGGAGCAGCCCCTGGGACCCCTCATGGCTCTGCAGCCCCCCCGAGGGCAGGAGAGAGGGGGCTGGGGTGTGCAAGGAGCACCTGAAGGAGCTGCCCCGGTACCAAGCCCAAAATGACTCCGTGGGTGCTCCCAGCCTGGCTGTGCCCCAAACTCAGGGCTGGAGGGCTGCCATGGCTGGGAGAGGGGTGTGGGACAGGGACAGGGACAGGCAGGATCCCAAACAGCCCCATGCTGGACATGGCTCAGTGTCCCCACCCCTCCAAAGCAGCCCTGGCACAGGCAGAGGTTGGGATGAGACACTTCAGAGTTAACCTGAAGTTAACTTCACTGCTGCCCATC